TAGTGACTGGGGGGATGAGAATCACGTGTTTGTAGAGGCTCGTCATGATCGTAGTTATTTTTAAAAGCTGAACTAAAAAGCTGGGTACGTGTGGCAGGTTGGCGAGCAGGGGGGAGACGGAGGGAAGAGGTCTGTACCCTTCGGAAAAGACCCTCGCCCCCTCCCCCCGCACCGTTCGTCTTCCGTGAGGGTCTGGGGAATGGGAGGGGGGGACTTTTTTTTTTTTTTAAGAAGTTAAACCCTTTGGCAATATAATCAGTCCCCACCCCCGTACCCTGGTGTCTGGGGCCCCTAGCCCTTTGCCCCGCCCCGCTCCCCGCAGAACCTGCCCCACCCCTCACCCCAGATTCGCCAGGGTTTAGGGTCCGAGGGAAGGATGGGGGGGACTCAAAGTGCCCCTTGCATAGGAATCGTTGCATCAAGAATCGTGCTCAGTGACACCCCCCCCAACCCTCGGGTGGGGTTCCTGAGGCTGTGGGAGCACAGGGAGGAAGGTTGCTAATTCTGCGGGCCCCCAGCTCCGAAAGGGGGGTTCTCTAAGGATTCTGGGACCGGTGTGGCCTCCAGGCGTGGGGGAGGTAGCGCATCCTTGAGCCAGGATGGGGTGCGAGTGATTTTCCACCCGCGGGCGGGGCGGGGATCGCGGGGAACGGCGGGCTGGGGTCCCCGCCCAGGTGGGTAGGTTGTTTCCTAAGCCTCGATGTCCCAGTGTCCGTCCGTCCGGCACAGCCTCTGGATGGAGACACTCAACCTAAACAAACGGCGTCCGGGCCGGCCGCGCAGCACAACCTGTACTTACTGGCCTGTGAGCGAAGCGCCCCAAAGGGCAGACCCTCTCGGGGAAGACACAGCTCCCGGGTGCCCGTGCCTGGACCTCAGCACGTCAGAGGCACGAGCACGACCCTCTGGGAAGCACTGGTGACCGTGAGGGGGGGTACCATTCAAGGGAAGACATGTTGGGGGGCGGGGTTGGGCCTAAGAAACGGGGTGCCCTGCAAAGATCAGGTTCCCTGGAATAGCAGACAGGCCGGGCCCGTCTTGGAAATCCTAGCGGCAGGGGAACCTGAGGTGGATGTCTGGTGGCAGAGATCTGGGGGTGTCTGGTGGGGTGGAGGCCTGAGGATTTGGGGTGTCGGGGAAGGTTCTGGAGCATCCCAAAGGCTGAAAGTGAGCTGCAGGCTGGGGCGCCCCTTGGAGGCCTGGGGCGCCGGGATGCACTCCAGGGAGTGGCTGGCGGCGGGGCTTGGTTGGGGGCAGCATCTGTGTGCAGGGGTTAAGTTTCAGGGGTGCGTGGGGGTTTGGAGGATGCGGGTGCCAGGAATTCTGGGTGCAGGGCTCATGTCCTGGGGACCCGGAGGGGCGCCGGGGAATTTCGTGTGCTAGGGCCAGACATCCCAGGAGTCTGGGGCGGGAGGTCTGAGTCCATGCAGCAAGAACAGAGGCGAGCAGATCCCTTGGGGGTGCGGGTGGGGGTGACAGGGTGCAATTCACCAGAGGGATCCTCCTAAAGGCTGAGGGAGCAGCTGGCCGCAGCGCCCCGCTTCTACTATCTGAGCTCAGCTGGGGTTTGGTGCTGGGTGACTGTTCCTCCTTCCCCCGTATTGTCGCTAATTTTTTTTAAAAATCAATGCATGATGATGGGCTGCCCTCCAGGGGGGAAGGGGAAGAGGCTAGGAGACCCTCCTGCAGCCCCACCCGACCCCCTCGAGGTCCGTCCCCTCCCAGAATGCCCCTGCCCTCAACCGCGTGGCATGCAGCCCCTGGCGCTTATTGCTGCGGTGGAGTTGGGGGAGGGGTCCAGGTTGGAGCATGCACAGTAGGGGGAGGTGCCCCCAGTGTGATTGGCATAATTTGGACGTATTTACACGAGTGGATGGGAGAGGGTGTCCTATGGCTCATGGAGACCTGAGAAGGCTTTATTTGGGTGGGGGGAGAGCTGGAGGGCGTGGGCTTTGGCCCCTCCCCCTCCATCCTGGGGCCCAGGTGGGGGTGAGGGGCCCGGGGGTGTCTGCTGGCGTGGTCGTCTCCGTTGCATATTATTAATGACTTTTGATTTAAAAAAAAAAAAAAACCTTTCCCCCACCCCCAGTTCCTTTGACCTTCTTCCCTGTCACCCCCGAGTCCCCCCACAGGGGGGAGGGGAGCGCTAGAGGATGGAGGGCAAGGTTGGGGGAGCGCGGCGGGCGGCCCTGGGAGAGCCGG